GAAAGCTTTTATCATTTAGAAGTCTGCAAATGTCATTAAAAATTATTTTTATATCGGAATAGAGTAGCTCTTCAAAATGCAATATCATCTACAACAAACTTTTTAATCCAGCATTTAGTTTTAATAGGATTTTAAAATATCAGTTCTATCTAAAGTAAAACAACACACAAGCTTTCATTGACAGAGTATTCTTTTCATATATAAGCAATTAGAAGTTGAATTTCAATACTATTCTAAAGGGATAAAAATATTAACATAATGCAACTAATTAAGAAATCTGAGCTAATTAAATTTTGTAGATCTATTTTTTCCCTAACATATGGTGAGGTGCTTTTGCATAACACAATACATTGATGTCATCCCACAATATGAATGACAATCTTAGGATAGAGTGCTCCTTCAATCTGCAATTTCAAAGTAATCATTATTAAATTAACATTTTAATACTGTGTTATAATTTATACAATGTACTTGGGAAACAAAACTGTTTATATCTGTATATATTTACCAATCTCACTTATCTAAACATCTTCCATCCTTAAAAAATGAAGAAAAAACAACAACACATTTTTCAAGTATAGGATAAAGTCACCAAATTGGTGTACAAAAGACAAATGATGTATATTATTATTTTTTTAATCCCACTAATGACTGGAGTAAATTAGGCTTTTAAAATAATTAGGCTACATATATGTCTAAACAGTGTAATTGTGTGAGGAATCATTGACAAATCTGAATCATTTCACCATGGATAACTGACTCACTTAAGTGGTGATGTGAATAATCTTGTTATAACAGTCATTAAAACTGAAAGTATGCATAGCACCAGGGGTGGGATTCTACCAGTTCACACCTATTCGCTAGAACCGGTTGTTAACATTCTAAGCAGTTCGGAGAACCAGTTGTTAGAAGAAATTACCTGGCCTAATCCTGTAAGGAGGGCAGGAAGTAAACATTCTGGTGTTGCTTACAGAAACTGCCTCTCCGTTAACCCTTATTACATTCTTGGCAGGACTAGACTTCCTGTCTCAGGAACTTCTCAGGAGGTTTTTTTTCCCCCTCCTTTGCTGGTACTTTGCTTGTGTGGAGTGACCATTTAAAGTTACAGTGGCACTGAAAAAAGTGACTTATGACCGTTTTTCACACTTAGGACTGTTGTAGCATCCCCAGTCATGAGAGGCCAGGGAAGGAGATGAGTGCCTCAATGTGAGTGATATTGAGTTGGCCACACCCAGCCAATAGCATGACCACCAAGCCATGTCCACCCAGTCACATGACCACCAAGCCATGCCCACCACCTAAGCCATGCCCACAGAACCGGTTGTTAAAAATTTTGAATCCCACCCCTGCATAGCACCTTGGATCTGAAGATCCCCATTCTTCTCACCTAAACTGTACTTGTCCTCGCTTCCAGTGCAATATTTCCATTAGAAAGAACTCGGTGAAATCGTTACATTTTGAGAAATAAGAAATCTATCTTATCCATGCTTTGCCTAGCCTAATATTACCCAGCTGGTCCTTTCAGAGCAAAGATTTTATCTGTGCAATTGATTTTGTCAAAATGACAAGTAAAGCTAACTAACTCATAGTTTAGTACTAGATACCTAATTTATTCATTTATTTTGTTTTAGCATATGACGTACATAACCAGGCAAATCCACATTTTTTAAAATATCACAGAGTAGTTCTGGTAACCCAACATTATCAGTTCATTTGGTTAATGCATGCACAATACTAAGATATACCATGGGGGAAAACTAACTTTGCACCTGCCGGCTAGCAGCATATAGGGGATATTAAGTCATCCAGGCTTTCTTCTTGCCTTGCATATAGGCAGGTCCAGCACTGGCTCCTGCTTCCACATGAACACTGCTGGCTTTTCCTAAATAAGTGGTACCTAATTATCTAATGGCATTTTATAGGCTTTTGAACTGCTAGGTGGGCAGGTGTCATGCCCCTGTCGGAATCTGATTCCGAGGGAGAGGCTGAGCACCTGACAGAGTGGGAGTGTGGCTCTGGTGGATGTGGAAGAAACTGGGGAAGGGCAAAGTCTGGCTGGGCAGAGCAGGGGAGAGGTAGAGCAAGGCAGAGGGAATACAGAGGAAGATCCAGGCCCACCCCCTTTCATCCTAGGGCATGCAGGGAGGAACAAAGAAGGGAGCAACATGAGTTACATGGCTTATGGGGGAGGAAAGGGCCCTGATTCTCTTCATTAGCTGCAGCTGGGAACACAGTGTTTAAAAAGGGAGTTTGCGCACAGCAACTCATGGGAAGCAAATTGTGAGTTATCTTTTATGGTTGAAGCTTATCTGGGTTCCTGGCGTCTTCCCAACTGTGTGTGTTTTGTTGGCCTTTAAAGTCTGCAATTCCTTATCCTATCTGTCCAGTTAATTGCTGCAGCATGGTTTGTGTGGATTTTTATTTACAGTTTATATGTACTTTGTTTTCAGACTGAATTTCCTTCATTTGAAGACTGTTCTTGGGGGAGTTTTTTCTCCATCTGAAGATACCTGGACATTGGGGGCAAAGTTGGAGATATTAAAGGGACTTTTCTTACTTATGTGACTGTGTTTCCTTTGTGCCATGCCCTGGGCCACCACAGCAGGAGCTAGGGTCAAATGATAGGAGCTTACTCTGCAATGCGGTGACATGGGCTTGAACTGCCAGAGTACCAACTATCTGTGGCCCAAGAGTGCCAACCATTAAAGCCGATGTCCCACTGCACCCCCTTACTAGATTCCTGATTTTTTTATGAAAACTAAAATGGGTGGTTAACTTGCATATTAATAATTGTGTAGTTCTGATTAGTAACTATTGGTACATTTATATTTCATTAGGTTTTCCATTAGGTAATTAGGATTTTGCAATCTCAGGTAAAATGTGGGTCCTATTGAATGAGACTTCCAAGATTTTGGATTTAGGTTATTATACCATATACATAACAACTGACCAAATAAGATTAAAAAAAAACAAGGCCTACATTCATCAAAAAATTCAATTCATTCATCAACAGTACTTTATAGTTCAAAACTTTACTTCTATTTCACTAGTCAGTCAGTTTCAATTATAACATTGTTCCATATAACATAAATATTTTAATTCTATAATATAAGTATATAATTCTAATATATACTTGCAAATTAATACTGCAGTATGGCCTTATTTAAAAAAATAATAATTAAAAGTCAACTTAGATAGGATTCTTTGAAAAGCAAACTGTACATTTGTGATGCAACCACCATTTGCATCACCAATCATTTACTGTTCTTTTATATTTGGCACATTAGGGATCAATAAATATAGCACAAATAACTGATAACATCAGATTTCATATGAATTGAAAAGTGAAACCAATGACAATCACATCATAATAACTATACATTTATAATGTTTTAGAAAGTAAAAGGAAAAAAAATCAAAACAAGTTTTTTTTTTTATCCCTCTAATATGAAAAAATATAGTAAAAATACAATAAGAATATATTGTAATGGTAACAACATTATAGCCTGTTATGATCCCTTTAATCAGCAAATAATAATAAAATGTAACTGATTCATATTATACAAAACACAATTGGGGGAATTAGGCACAAATTTGAAATTTGCAAAATTACATAAACCCAATCACTATCAAATTACTTATCAAATTGAAATTGATTCCCCAAATCCTAAGCTAGGTAGACAAGAAACTATTAGCATATCTATGCTGTAAACTACACAAGAGGTGTAGAAAATAACCCTACTACTTTTCTTTGATCATTATTTCATTTTTTTTAAAAAAGGATGTGCATTGTTATCTTGGAGAAGCATTAAAGTATACAAAGTCAATCTAATTAGTAACAATTAAGTATCTTTTAGACCGCAGCTGGAATATTTATCTAGCATATGGCTAGATGTTTTATACAGTATAATTGAGTTGATTAAGCTGATGGTCAGAATCTCAGCTCATTCATAAAACTAAAACTGATCACAGATTTTCAGAACAGTCCAACATTAATAGCACCTTTCACTGAGTAGAACATTCATACTAGACATGGTATAGTAGCTGCTATGAAATCTATCATCTATATCTATCTATCTATCTATCTATCTATCTATCTATCTATCTATCTATCTATCTATCTATCTATCTATCTATCTATC